ATCAGCCACAGCAACTTCTTTCAAGATATGTCCCCAATGGCAAAGGAAACAAAAGCGAAAATGAACTTTTGGGACTTCATGGAGATCAAAAGCTTCTGCACAGCAAAGGAAGCAGTCAATGAAACAGAGGCAAACCATGGAATGGGAGAAGATATTTGCAAATGACAGTACAGACAAAAGGTTGATATCCAGGATCTATAAAGAACTTCTCAAACTCAACACACACAAAACAGACAATCATATCAAAAATGGGCAGAAGATATGAACAGATACTTCTCCAGTAAAGACATACAAATGGCTATCAGACACATGAAAAAATGTTCATCATCAGTAGCCATGACAGAGATTCAAATTAAAACCACATTGAGATACCACCTTACACCAGTTAGAATGGCCAAAATTAGCAAGACAGGAAACAACATGTGTTGGAGGGGATGTGGAGAAAGGGGAACCCTCTTCCACTGTTGGTGGGAATGCAAGTTGGTGCAGCCACTTTGGAGAACAGTGTGGAGATTCCTCAAGAAATTAAAAATAGAGCTTCCCTATGACCCTGCAATGGCACTACTGCGTATTTACCCCAAAGATACAGATGTAGTGAAAAGAAGGGCCATCTGTACCCCAATGTTTATAGCAGCAATGGCCACAGTCGCCAAACTGTGGAAAGAACCAAGATGCCCTTCAATGGACGAATGGATAAGGAAGATGTGGTCCATATATACTATGGAGTATTATGCCTCCATCAGAAGGATGAATACCCAACTTTTGTAGCAACATGGACGGGACTGGAAGAGATTATGCTGAGTGAAATAAGTCAGGCAGAGAAAGTCAATTATCATATGGTTTCACTTATTTGTGGAGCATAACAAATAACGTGGAGGACATGGGGACATGGAGAGGAGAAGGGAGTTGAGGGAAATTGGAAGGGGAGGTGAACCATGTGAGACTATGTACTCTGAAAAACAACCTGAGGGTTATGAAGGGGCCGGGGGTGGGAGTTTGGGGGAGCCAGGTGATGGGTATTAAGGAGGGCATGTAATGCATGGAGCACTGGGTATGGTGCAAAAACAATGAATAGTGTTATGCTGAAAAGAAATTTTAAAAAATTTAAAAAATAAAAAAAAAAGATTCCCTCTCTCCCTTTTTTTCCCCTCTCCCCCCTTCTCTCCCTCTCTGAAAAATAAGAAATATCTGTTTATAACAAATGCTGGTGATAAAATGAAAAAACAGACTTATATAGAATATTGGTGAGAAAGCAAATTTTTACAGTCACTTTTGAAAACTGTTTAGTCGTTTCTTATAAAGTTAAATATACACTTACTATATGAAATCCCACTACTAGGTATTTACTCCAGAGAAATGAAAAGATAGAAACCTGAACACAAAATTTTTTTTATCAACTGCATTCACAGTATCCAAGAACTTTGAAATTTCAAATGTCTGTCAATGGGTAAATGGATAAAATGTGGTACATTCTATGCAATGGAATACTACGCTACAATAGAAAGGAGAATACTCCACATACAGACAACACAGAAAAATCTCAAATGCATTATGCTAAGTGAAATATGTTAGTCTAGGAGGAATAGAATATATACTGTTATTCCATTTATACAGTGTTCTTCAAAAGTCAATATTATAGAACCAGATTAGTTGTTGCCCAGGGATGGGATGGCGAGAGGATTTAATTATAAAGGAGCAGCATAAGGGAATTTTTTTGGAGTGATGGATCTATTTTGTATCTTGGTTGTGATGGTGGTTTCATAAATATATTTGTTTGTCCTAACTCATAAAACTATATACCAAAAAGAATGAAATTAACTATATATAAATTTAAAAGTGAATAATAATAATGGGTAAAAAGAGCAATGTTAATAGAGATATATTGGTCAAATTAAAGACATTCAAAATGTTTCATTAACCTAGATGCAACTCTTTATAAACAAACAAAAAATCAGTAGTTTACCTAAAATTGAAACTTTGAATATTGGAAAGAATATGTTATACTTGACTCGGTGGTGATTTTTTGGACTCAATCCATTTTTAGAATCAGTTTTCCCAAAATGAATACTTAGGAGTAAAATTATTTGGTATTTTTCAAATGATTTACCCAGTTAAGACATTATTAGGGCATTACTAGTCTGGGTTTATGTGTGAAATCAGATGTGTAAGAACAGTGTTATGTAGAAATTTATCTGAAATATTCCCATGTGAAAATATGACCAAAGCTATGTGATACTGCTAAGGGGAAGTCATTCTTAAAAGCTTCAATTTTTCAAGTACTCCTAAGGCAATAAATTTATATAATATTTTACTCAGTGCTCTGCTTGTTTGAATAGAACACACTGAACATAAACCTCTCTGTGGCTCAGGATCTTTATTAAAACACTGAATCCCAAAGCTGAGGGCAACCTGAGAAATCCCATATATGAATATGATAAAGTAAGGAGCCTAGTCATACTTACAAGTATGTTACAATTATAGCATGCTTTACATGTAAGAAAATGAGCTCCCAAATCCTTAGTTATTTGTAAAAACCCAGACTGGTAGGTAGTACATGTAGTATATTCTAGCATTTTACAAATTAGCAAATAGAGGCTCATAAAATTTAAGTGACTTGCACACTATTCCACAGTGGAGCTAAGTGTAGCACACAGGTCATCTTATTCCTATGTGCTATCATGTGCTAAGTGAGTGCCACATCGCAAAGAGTATTAGATTAGTAAGTCTTGAGGTAAGGCTAATGACTTGTTATTTCAGTATTTAATTCCTTAATTCAGTTACCCTCCATACCTCAACCCAACAAACCTCGATTTCCATGAAACCAATGGGTTGCCATTTTATTTCTGCAGAAATAAGAACCGGACTTTTAAAATGAAGGTTTTTACAATTCTCTTCCTGATTTTTGTGTAAATGATTAGTAACTTTGTCTATGCCGTCATTCAATATCTTGCCACTTCACAGGCCAAGGTACCTAAGGTAGATAGAGATAATGACAAGTTATCTTGGTTATAAGGTTTTTATCTAGTTGTTGTGATAAAGAATAAATGTCCCATGAACACCCGCTCTCTTGAGCAAGGTGGCCTTCTTGCTGTTGCTATGAATTTAAGAGAGAAACTGAAAAGGTCACAGCATCGTCTCCTGTCAGGAGGTAAATTCCAGAAGTCAATTTAGTGCTCAGCATCGGTATTTGACTGTTGTTATCAGTGAGGAAGAAATTGCTGTGCTTTTTAATGCTTATACCATACTTGAGTACATGTTGCTGTTGTAGCTACCCAATAGGAAAACACTTGTATATTTTACAGCTGTAACATCACACATGAGGATCACTCGTATCTCGTACTCTAGGATTTTTTGTTTTTGTAATTACAGCCCTGCAGAGAAGGATCAGAACCATTACCCTCATTATGCATCAGTGAAATTGAAGTTTATGGCCCTCCTCAGAACTCATTCCAAAATACTTTGCTTCTAAACCCACACGAGATGACATATTTTAGGTATTTGCCCTCTACTTCCTGGCTCCTCTCTTGACTGTAGCTGAATTATTTAGGAAAAGGAATTCCAAATTGCTCGAAAATGTGACCGCCATGATAGTAAATGTTGTTTTGATGGATACCATCACTACCCTCTGGCCCAAACATCCTTGAAAGTTTGGTCACACGGCACAATGTGATCTCCTTCAGAAAGTTAGTGAAGTTATTTTATTCCTGAAGTTTCAGGGACTATCAGCTTATCTTTTCTGCGTCCTTTCCCACATCTGATTTTCTATAATTGGATTTCTTAACATTAGATAGGAAGATGTTTGTGTGGGCAGGAAAAAGATTCAGTTGTACAAATGGCAATAGACTGCTATATGACTGTCTTTAATTCCTTTATTGTTCAATATATTCAGAGAAAGGAAAATTATTTTTATTTCCACGTCAGTGTACTTGATTGTTTCCATACCCACTATACTAGAATGATTTGTTTGGTTTGGCTTATAGTGTTTCTGTCATTGCTGTTTTCCTAATTTTGAAGGGACAATTTCCTTTGGAAGGGTTTTTTTTTTTTTTCTTTCTGTCAACTTTTAGGAATAACAATTTCAGTATAAATGCTTTAAATAAGAACCAGAAGTTGCCTTAATCTAATTACAAGGGTTCTTTTTCATTAAATGCACTACTAGAATTCATCCTTTTTAAGAAAAAAAGAGTTTGACCTGCTTTTTATTGTGAGTTTCACAGGTTGTTTTCTCTCAATATTAAACACTTTGTGTATTGGCAGAAAGGATAAAGTACATTTTTAAATTTCTCTTGTGTAATTATGATGCTGTCAGTTTAATTAAAATTACGTAGTTTTTACATGTTTCCTTTTAGTAAAATGCACATGATTTTGGACTTTGATTTATATACTATAGTTATTAAAAATAATTATTTTGGTTAGTAGAGATATTAGTATAGATATTTTGAGTTACCAACACTTCCTATTTATTTTTAAGCTTTTTAAAGAGAGGGTTTGTTTTTATATATGCAAAGAACCCCTTTATTCAGGAAAGGAAAAATAAAAGCACCTCTTTGTTTCAGACCACAGTTTCTGGCTGTAAGACGTTTGTCAGATGCCTTGTTTGACAAAGAACAGTGAGTGTTCCTGTTGATAACTGACCATGAATGTATGGCTACCACCATCTCTGACTTCACTAGCCAAAAATATTTATTTCAGTGAAAAAACCTTTACTTCCCAATGTACCAACACTAACCAGATAGGGTTTTCCTCTCTCTCTCTTTTTTTGTCCTTAAAGTTGTTACTTATTCTGAACAAATTTAATAAGCATTTGCATTATATGTAATTGTCACTTAGAACCTGTTTCCCTTTGGCAAACAAATTATTCCCCATTACTGGGAATTAGTTCAATTAAATAAATTTTGCAGCTTTGAAGCACTGAAACTGTATCAAAAAACAGTAGCATGCAAACTCTGCATATACCCAACACTTATTCCAATTTTCAGAGTATCTTCTTTTATTTTTAGATGAATCTACGTTCTGTATTTACTGTAGAACAACAAAGGATTTTACAGCGTTATTATGAAAATGGAATGACAAATCAAAGTAAAAATTGCTTTCAGCTCATATTACAGTGTGCACAGGAGACTAAGCTGGACTTCAGTGTAGTCAGGGTAAGTATTGAGGCTGTCATTCTTGAATTTATAGCTTTTTATAAGTGATAATTGCTTCATATGAGAAAAACTATCAGAGTATGAAGTCACTAACATTATAATAAACAGTTTCATTTCCCTGGTATAAAAATACTACTTTCTTATAAAATAATAAATAGAGCTAATCATTTAGTATGTATTTGTTTCTGTAAATTCCTTGAAAACACTAAAACTTTTGCATTGTAAACATAGCTTTAAAAAAATCCTAATCCTTTGAACTAATGAATACTTTTAAGATTAGTTGCTTATCCTGTGCCTTCTTTAAACCCAGGAATAATTTGGAGATAACCTGCCAAAATTATATCAGTAACACAGGCATTTACCAAGGGACTATTGTGCACCTAGAATATTTTCTTGGTGTATTTGAATTTTTTTCAGGCATTTTTGACTTCAGTATTTTGGGCTTTTTTAGGAAAACTGGGCCTTATTTTATGAATATCCGGCCTTTTTTATGAATACCCACTCCTTATCCTAAGTAAAATGCATGGATTTTAATGGGTTAATTAACGAGTAAGAAACAAGAAATCCCATGGGAGGAAATTTTCCTTTATCACAACCATAGTTATTCAGCTGTAAAAATCAGAGCCCTTAAACTTCTTTGAAAGACAATGAGAAGGTGATGGAGAGGAGACGAGAAAAATCTAACAGAATTAGTTACAGATTTTATTGGAGTACATAGGTCCTTTCATGTTTGTCTGAACATGGTACAAATACTCCTGGCTTGAAAACTTATGGATTCACAGATTGACGACTTTCTCATCCTTGTCATTCATTAGGCTATTTTGTCAAAGAGAATCTAGGACATCTGTTTTTAGGTTTATTTCTTTTGGAAGAACTTTCAAAAGACCCTAATTATAAAAGAAATCTCTTGACAAGCAGAATTCTTTGGAAAAACTATTTCTTAAAGACTAAAGGATATATTCACCTTTGAACAGGGAATTATGATACCAATTCTAGGGAATTATCACATGATATCTGTTTTTATGTGTTGAGCTCAATCATCATATTCAGATTCATGTAAGAACTAGAAATATCTTCTTTCTATTTGTAGATATAAATTCCCTAGTTGAATTTACAGCTCAAATTTCTTCTTTACTATGAATTCTAGACTATTTAATTTTTTTGTACCAGATTTGGTAAAATTGTGCCATAAATAGTTGATAAAATATTTATATTAATATAATATATTAATATTTTAATAATTAACAATATATCATAGTATATCACATTATATAATGTATATTATATATCATGTTATGTTATATATAATATTTATATAATGATTATTATTATTTTACAATTATATTTTTATATATTTATATATAATCATATTTTATACATATAATGTGATTTTATAGTATATAATAACTATTATATATTATGTATTGTATTATATATAATGGTCATATAATAAACAATAATTAACATTGATTATAAATAATATAATTAATTAACATAATACAATAAAATTTGGTAAAATAAGAGAAAGTATGTTTTAAGGTCAAAGGTTGTCCTGGTATATTCAAGTTCCTATTTCCCTTTAGTAAATCTCATAGAAAAATGTTTAATTTCCTGAGAAAAAATAAATTTTATATTTCAAATTGACAAGATTGCATTTTACAAGTGCAAACTCATTTTTTTGGAGTAACTGTTTTTCTTTTTTCCTCTTATTTTTTCTTCCTTTTTCCTTTTATTTTATCATTACTTAAAAGTGAAAAGTCTTATCAGACATCTTCTTATGTACTTTGTGATGGTTCATATTTCCAGTTTGTTATTGCAATAACTTACTTGATTGTACTTGAATATTGACAGTGCTGAAATGCAAACATTTATATTTATGTTCCAAATGGTATGAAATCTAAAACAAACAATTAGAATGACAGAAATAAATTCATAGATTTTAAGCTTACAAGTAAAATATTACTTAAGTTTTAAGGACTTGTGTAAAACAGATTCCTTCTCTCTGTTCTAAACGAGTGTAAATTGTACAGAAATTCACTCTTCCTAATCTAAATTCCAGCACAATTTTGGTTGCCTTCTGCAATCTGAGAAGGGAGTTGTTTATAGATCCATTATTCTATAACCTCCCTTGTCCTCAATATTTTCCTAGGTGTATATGTTGTACTTGAAAGAGACCTTCCTTTATTATTTTAATATAATATTTGTGTGTTTTTCCTCAGAACTCAAATCTTATGGTACTAAGAACCTGATCCCAATGTAAAATGAACTTAAAAGGCTAAAACATATGCAAAAATAGAGTAAAGGAACACAGAATCAAAGAAGGAGGTATAGAAAAAGGAAAACAGGTTTGGAGACAGTGAATTTCATTTGATCTTAGCCAAAATGCTGAGAAGCAATGGAGACTGAATTTTAAAGAGAGAACTGAAAGAGAATTTTATGAACTGATGACCTAGTGTTATTCTTTCTTTTTTATGTAGTATTGCTTTGTTATTAGTTATAGTCCCCAAATTCTCATCATATCAACTTTGTTTGACCCATTTTCTCTTTCAACCAATGAGGCATTTGGAATGAAAATCATTTACATCCTATGAGCACTGGTAAATTTTTGATCCTGTAATTGAATGGCTTTAAGTAAAATTTAATTCAGTTACTGGGAATGCTCGGGCAATAAATTTTCTTTATTTTCAGAATTTTAAAAATATTTCTTAAGTATATACTTTCTCACTTTAACTTCAATGGAAAATATTGAAAATCACTGAACCCTTACTTTTTGACTCACAGTTTCATTATGAAAATGAATTATTACATTGTGCTGTAAAATGGTAATGCTTATAACATGGTAAGCTATATGGGGTGATTTTCTCCTTCACTAAAGAACTCCAAACTATTTAATTATTTCTCACATTAATTCTCTTATGTATTTCCTTAACCTTTTTAGTGAGCAAAATTGCATAAACATTCTGTTTCGGTGCCATCTAGTTGCCTCTAATAGCAATTTCTGTCACCAATGCATTATTTCTAATTTGTTACAGATGAGAATACCAGATTTGGTGAAATCATATATAAAATAGGAGAAGGTGTGTTTTAAGGTTTAGGGTTGTGCTTTTAGCAAGGCCCATGTATCCTGTGATATCTGTGTTGGCTGTGTTCTGGACAAGTGAGATTGTCAGATAGCTGAGCTATCATATGCACACGATATTCTACTGCATTTTACTTTTTTATGAGTATGTAATGTAAATATCTAAAACTCTGTAAGTAACTGTATATAGAAATATATTTTAAATTTATGGCTTATTTTGATAGTTTTACAGTTCATTATATATATGAACAATTATAGTTCATTATACTTATCATTACTATTCATTATATATATATATGTACTATTAAAGTAAGCCATAAATTTGCAATTCACTAAGATCACTCTTAAGCTTTCTGCATTAAGGTAGTTACAGTAATGAGAACATTTATTTGTTTTCTTAGAAATATTGCCCAGATCTGCCCTCCAGATGTAGTACTTCTTCAGTTCAGATGTTACAAATTCACTGTTTGAAAGTTTTTAAGTGTAATGACTGTGCATTTTTAAAAATTATGAACAAATGCACTATGCTTCCTATGCATAATTTCATACTTGAAAAGCCATAATACAGTAACTTAGTTTGAATATTTGTAAAATTCACCTTTTTGGACCATACCTTGAAATTATATTTATCCAAAATACTTCTATTTAAATGTTTCTTTTGAGTATGTACTTTAAAACCTTTCACTTTTTCTACTCTGCCTCCTTCTCCATTGATATTTACATTTATTTGTCCCTTTGCTTGTAATTCTTACCTCTGCTGTTTAGTAAAACTAGAGTGACTGTAAAATTCCCACAGCCTCATGTGAAGCAAAATAGAGCATCTACATCTCTGGAACATTTTCCTTGTTAGAGAAGTACTAAGTATAAAAATTAAATGGCCAACAAGGATGACCATTTTGGGAGTTTCTTGCCATAGTGGAAGGAGAATGTGCTTTGAGGTCAAGTAGACTTGATTTTGAATCATTGCTCCATCACTTGCTGACAGGATATCCTTGTATAAGCTAGTTAATATTTCTCAACATCAATTTTTTTCATTTATACAATTAGAAAAATAATCGAAGAAGCTAATATACATAAAAACATATAATGGGGATTCAATAGATGTTAGCTTTTATTTATAATATTACAGCAACATTGATGTTGTATACTGTATAAACATCAAAAACTGAGAAATTCTTGTGGTCTTTAAAAAAAACACATCACAGGGGCGCCTGGTTGGCTCAGTGGGTTAAAGCCTCTGCCTTCAGCTCAGGTCATGATCCCAGGGTCCTGGGATGGAGCCCCATATCGGGCTTTCTGCTCAGCGGGGAGCCTGCTTCCCTTCCTTTCTCTCTGCCTGCCTCTCTGCCTAGTTGTGATCTCTGTCTGTCAAATAAATAAATAAAATCTTTAAAAAAAATAAATAAAAACACATCACATAAAGGTTAACCAAATATACCCTGCACCGTGTTTGTGAAAGGCTAGTTTATTTAATATTTTCACTTATTTTTTTAAAAATTTGTAATAGATTAATGTGTTTTGGCAGTTTATACTGTGGTATACATTTTAAAATACTTATAAGGTTTACTGATCACATTATGGAATGTAATATTTCTTATCGCATATTTTTACTGTATAATCATGATTCAGTATAAAATTACTAAGGTCATTATAACAGATTACTTATATAAAAGTACACATTTTGTAATCAAATTTAAATGCCAATCTCTTGTATTATTTTTATTAATAATGATTATTCTGTTTATAAAAGTAATGCACATTTACTATATAAAATTTGGTAAGTAGAGAAAAATACGAAGAAGGAAATAACCACCATAAATTGGTAACAAACTGGGGAAAATATTTGCAACTTGTGACAGTATTTCTATCTCTAGTAAAAAATAGCTTTTATAAATAAACTTAAAAAGATAAATACCCCAATATAAAAATGAGTAAAATTAATGGATAAGCATAATATAGTAACCATAGAAATTCAAATGCAAAGAGAAATTATATACCTTATATTAACTCCTAGGCTAGTAAACACTACAAAAAGATAATGCAAGATGTTGGTGAGGGTGTGGAGAAATCAGAACTCTTATACATTGGAGGGTAATTTGAAGATATCAAAAAGCCCAACACTTTCTTTTTTTAGTACATCATTAGTTTTTGATATAAAGTTTAATGATTCATTAGCACAAAGATGCATATATAATGACATATATTTCAGTATGGTTTATAATAGTGAATAATTCAAAAAATAACCCAGTAGTATCTTGCAGTATTAAATTAACCAAGTTATGATATATCCATAGAACAGAAGTTGTTAAAACTGAAGATTATTAAGTGTATATTTGTTTAATAATACTATGAGCATTTTCCAATGTCATTTAACATCCTACTTTAGTATGCTTCCAATCTTTCACTATTAAAAATAACTATATGATGAGCATAATTGCATATAAACTTTGTATACACATATGATTATTTTAAGGATAAATTCCTAGAAATGGATTTACTAGGTCAAGGGATATAAACATTTTTAGGATTCTTGCTGTAGATTAATTGAATGAATTTTGGGGAAAGAAGCAATAATGCAATTCTGTTTTCAAAGTTCTTGGATATTTATTAAGAGCAAGTTCTTTAACATTATACTAACCTTATACTTTATTTTTATTTTCTAACCTTATACTTTAGTTACTTCTTCTTTTGTTGTATCTTTTTTGTTTCATTTATTTATTTTTATTTCTTTTTTTTAATTCAATTAGCCAACATATAGTACATCATTCATTTTTTATGTAGTGTTTACAATTTGTATAGGCCTTACTTCTATGACAAATGAGAATACAATTTATCACATTGAAAGTGTTTTTCCTATATTTTAAGAACATTTCCATATTGTCATTTTTTATCATTACAGACGTGGGTTGGCAATAAGAGAAGAAAAATGAGTAGTAAGAATTCTGAATCAGGAGCAGCAACAACAGGAACTCTTCCTGGTACCTCTTTGACATCTCCAGACATTACAGTCAGAAATGTAGTTAACATCACTCGACCCTCAAGCCAGCAGTCTTCCTGGACATCTGTCAATAATGATGTCATTGTAACTGGTACATACAGTCCAGCAAGTTCATCAAGTAGGCAAGGGACAACCAAACATTCAGATACACAACTTACAGAAGCACATAAAATTCCTATTCAGAAAACGGCCAGTAAAAGTGATACTGAGTTTGAGTTGCACATTCCTGTTCAAAGACAAGTAGCACACTGTAAAAATGCCTCTCTGCTCTTAGGTGAAAAAACAATTATCTTGTCAAGACAGACAAGTGTGCTAAATGCTGGAAATTCAGTATACAGTCACACAAAGAAGAACTATGGAAGATCTTCAATGCAAGCCTCTGATATGATGGTACCTCAAAAGCCATCTGTGTGCCACCGACCTTGCAAAATTGAACCAGTTGGAATTCAAAGGTCATATAAGCCTGAACACACAGGTCTAGCATCACATAACTTATGTGGGCAAAAGCCACCTATTAGAGACCCTTACTGTAGAACACAAAACTTGGAAATCCGTGAGGTATTTTCATTGGCTGTTAGTGATTATCCCCAGAGAATTCTGGGAGGAAATGCCCCACAGAAGCCTAGTTCAGCAGAAGGAACTTGTTTGTCCATTGCAATGGAGACTGGAGATGCTGATGATGAGTATGCCAAAGAGGAAGAGTTGGCATTGATGGGAGCACAGATACCAAGCTACTCAAGATTTTATGAAAGTGGCAGATCCCTTGGGACAGAGAACCAAAGTACAGCATTGCCTGGACCAGGAAGAAATATGCCAAATTCACAAATGGTGAATATTAGAGATTTGTCAGACAATGTACTGTATCAAAACAGAGACTACCATTTGACACCTCGGACCTCATTACATACAGTAGCTACTACAATGTACAGTAATACAAATCCATCACGGAGTAATTTTTCTTCACATTTTGCATCATCAAACCAATTGAGATTGTCACAAAACCAAAACAATTACCAGGTAATGTATGCATTTATTTTATAAAAGGTTTTTTTAAAAGTTTTGCTTGGTATAAAAAGCTGTGTTTGATATCCAGTTAAACATGAGACCTGGCTCATTTAACTCCTATTTTGAAGTAATTTGAGAGTTTTTGCTTCAAAGTGGTGCTTTGGGATCTTTGAAGACTCTTGTGCTTTCTTGGTCATGTTTAAAATGGTGAGTTTTTCTCCATGGAATATAATCATGGAAGCTTTCTCCTAACATTTAAAATGATTTTGTTCAGGAAATAGTAGTTTTATAGGAAGCATGGCATTTCCCATCACAAAATAGGACTAAAGTGACTTGGCTCATCCCCTTAACATAGATTATTCCTGTAAGGGTTTTTGCTTGAAATTTGGAAAGCTGTCACTAGATAAGTGGTGCTTTCTTTGGATACATGGCAAAGCAAGTCAGTCATTTCCCTGAGAGATGGTGGCTAAGAAGTCCGAGTATGCAGTAACTCAGCCAAATGCTTTTTCTAAAAGTAAATGCTTTATTAAAACATCAAATGGGGACGCCTGGGTGGCTCAGTTGGTTGGGCAACTGCCTTCGGCTCAGGTCATGATCCCAGCGTCTTGGGATCGAGTCCCACATTGGGCTCCTTGCTTGGCAGGGAGCCTGCTTCTCCCTCTGCCTCTGCCTGCCACTCTGTCTGCCTGTGCTCGCTCTCGCTTCTCTCTCTATGACAAATAAATAAATAAAATCTTTAAAACAAAACAAAACAAACAAAAAAAAAATCAAATGGAATGTTGATCAAGTTTTTAAAGTGTTTATAAAGAGACATTCAGAGTAAAATTTAAAGCAACTTTAGTCCTGTGCAGAAAATAAGTGTTTTCTTCACTATTTCACGTATTCAATTGTTTAGATGTGCTGCAAATAATCTCAACACAGAGGCAGAAGCCCACCTCTGAACATCCCAAGACCATAGGTTTCTCTGAAAAAATATGTTTCTGAGAATTTGAATAGGACAGGGAAGTTTGCTGTTTTTCCTTGTTACTGGCTGGACCTTTGTACTGTGGACCTTAGCCACAGTGCTTAAGTTTAATCTGGACTTAAGGTCTTTCCAGGCTCTTCTCAACCAATATAAGGAACCAGTTTCTCCTCACTCCCCCGCCCTCTGCCCATCTTATAGCTCCCTGCTTCAAAACAAAAAGCTGTAACAGAGTATAGAAAGAATCTCTCCGGCGCCTAGTCCTAACAAAGGATGGCTGTATCATCATCATTAGTATTCATTATTACTGAGAACCAACTCATTTTTTCTGTTTCTTATTTCCTAAAGCATGCTTAAAGTAACACTGAACCATACCATTGAGATCTGAAAAAAAAAAAAAAACTTCCACCAAACCAGCTTTAATTCACCTTCGCTTTTGTACTTCTTTTTATACCCTTTAGTGTTTTTCTTAGTAATATTAATGACAGTAAAATTTACCATCTGTTGAGGGACTTCCACATACCAAGCATCATTAGTCATTTTATATACTTGATCTCATTTAATCTTCTGGACATGTAGCCCACTCTGGATATATAGGTATTTTATATATATTTCAATAACGTGTCCAGGATTACACAGCCAGTAAGTCCAATACAGAACCAGTATTCCAACTAAGAAATATATCGTGTATTTTTTTCTGCTTTATCATACAGTCTAATGATTTCAACTGTGTTAGAATTATTTGGAAGCCTGAAAGTGCAGTTTAACTTTCATTTATTCATAAGACAAGCACTCCCTTTAAAATAACTTAACCTATACATTTTTATAGTCTATTTTTTCCTGAAAAAACTTTTAAAGATATTAAATTTGTTTTATATAAAAGAAACTCTTGAAAGTAATAAAACTTAGCAAATAATTTAGTACTAATCTCTTTAAAGAAAGGCAGTCTGACATAACAATGAAGACCATTGACTTAGAGCCCAATAGACCTGGATTCAAATTTAGGTTTTGCCACTTTGCACTTGTGTGACCTCAAGCAAGTGACACAACTTCTCTGTATAACAGTTTCCTCATTTGTATAATGTGGTTAATATCCATTTCACAGGAAAGCTGTGACATAATTATGTCACAATCAGTGCAAGGCTACTTGTGCCTTCCCCGGCCCATAAACGTTCTTAAACTTTTAATGTTGTAGTTGGAAAGTTAATGAAGCTCTGCTGGTCCATGTCTCCTTTACATTCAGTTTCAAGTAAAATATTGCAGAGTCCACGATTATCACAGGGTAGCTGAAGAAGAAATAGCTGTAGGGCTGGCCGGAAAAAGACTGGAGATTAGCCATCAACTTTACCATAATCGAAGTACTTAATTATAATATACTGGACCTTTTCCAACTTGACCTTAGACAGTATGGTAAAGGGTGTTTGCAGAGAACCCTTGGGGCATTACTTTGCCCCACCTTTCTTTTAATTAGTTGAGATTTGGAGAAATCAAAGCAGCCTGAGGAAGTGTAGTCCATGAAAATGTCTTAGTCCAGTTGGGCTGCTATAATGAACATATTATAGAATGGGTAGATTAAACAACAAACGTTTATTTCTCACAGTTCTGGAGGCCAGGAAGCCTAAGATCAAGGTATTGACAGATTCGGTATCTGGTAAAGGGATGTTTCCTAATTCATAAATGACAGTCCTCTCACTGTGTCCTCATATGGCAGAAGGGACAAGGGAGCTCCCTGGGTTTGCTATTATAAGGAAACTAATCCCATTCATGAGGGCTCCATTTTCATGACCTAATCATCTCTCAAAAGCCCAACCTCGAAACACCATCACACTGGGGATTAGTTTTTAACATCTGAATTCAGCTGAAGTACAAACATTCAGTCTATGGTAGTTATTCTATAGGATTTTGATGAAGTTCTATTACCAAGTTATATTACTATTAGGTGAGGACTTAGAAAAATAGAACTTATGGCCATATTGGCAACTTTCTATAAAACTACAAGCAATTCTCATTAGTTTCTGACTTTAGGACTATATAACAGAGATATCTGCCTCTTCTTCCTGTCACACCAGGTATCTTCGAGCTGAGGTCCTATTCCTGAAAGATAGTCTAGTTCCAAGCGATCTAGGTGAGTGAGTACAGTTGAAGGACTCCCAGAGGATGCTGAAAGGAAGCTCTGTTTTGGATCCTCTTGGGAATACCATATTAAGGGTTGAAGTGGTAGTGAGGAAACTGTCAGGGGGTAGCTATGTCAGGATACTAAAGTTCAGTTCTAATTTTTTTCTTTACAGGCCAGTTTATTTCATTTTGTATACACGTTTTTTGGTAATTGCAAATTCCTATTTAAATTCCAGTTACTATACAGTATAATAACAGTTTTAGGTGTAGAATTTACTGATTTTATCATTTACATACAACACCCAGTGCTCATCACAATTGTCCTCCTTAATACCCATTGCCCATTTAACCCATCCCCCCACCCACCTGCCCTCCAGCAACCCTGTTTGTTCTCTGTAATTAAGAGTCCATTTTATGGTTGGTCTCTCTCTTTTCCCCCCATATTCATTTGCTTTGTTTCTTAAATTCCACATATGAATGAAATAATACAGTATTTGTCTTTTTCTGGTTGACTTATTTCTCTTAGAATAATACTCTCTAGCTCTATCCATGTCATTGCAAATGGCAAGTTTTCATTCCTTTTATGGCTGAGTAATATTCCATTATGTATATATGCCACTTCTTCTTTATGCCTTTATCAATAGACATCTGGGCTCTTTCCATAATTTGGCTATGGTTGATAATGTTGCCATAAATATCAGGGTGCATATATACCTTCAAACCAGTATTTTTGTATCCTTTGGGTAAATACCAATAGTGCAATCGCTAGATCATAGGGTAGATCTATTTTTAACATTTTGAAGAATCTCCATACTCTTTTCCAGACTGGCTGCACCAGCTTGCATTCCCACCAACAATGTAGGAGGGCTCCCCTTTCTTTACATCCTCACCAACATCTGTTGTTTCCTGTATTGTTAATTTTAATATTTCTGACAGCTGTGAAGTGATAGCTCATTTTAGTTTTCATTTTTATTTCCCTGATGATGAGTGATATTGAGCATCTTTTCATGTGTCTGTTGGCCACCTGTATGTCTTTGGAAAAATGTCTGTTCATGTCTTCTACCTATTTGTTAACTGGATTATTTGTTCTTTGGGTGTTGAGTTTTGTAAGTTCTTTATATATTGGGGATACTAAGGCTTTATCAGGTATATCACTTGCAAAAATTCTCCTCTTCTGTAGATGGCCTTTTAGTTTTGCTGATTGTTTCCTTTGCTGCTTAGAAGCTTTTTATCTTGGTAAAGTCTCAATAATTAATTTTTGCTTTTGTTTCCCTTGCCTCCAAAGATCTTTATAGTAAGTAGTTGCTATGGCCAGTGTCAGAGAGATTATGGTCTGCATTTTCCTACAGGATTTTGGTGGTTTCCTTTATCACATTTAGTTCTTTCATCCATTTTCAACTTATTTTTTGTGTATCTTGAAAGAAAGTTGTCCAGTTTCATTCTTCTGCATGTTCCTGTCCAGTTTTCCCACCATTTGTCGAAGAGATTTTTTTTTTTTCCATTGGACATTCTTTCCTTCTTTGTTGAAGATTAGTTGACATTATAGTGTAGGTTCATGTTGAGGTTTTCTATTTTATTTCTACTCTATTCTATTCTATTCCATTGGTCTATGTGTGTTTTTTGTGCCAGTACAATGCTGTCCTCATTACTACAGCTTTGTAATATAACTTGAGTTCTGGTATTGTGATGTCTCCACCTTTCCTTTTGTTTTTCAAGATTGCTTTGGTTATTCACAGTCTTTTGTGGTTCCACACAGATTTTAGGATAGTTAGTTCCAATGCTGTGAAAAGTGTTGGTGGTATTTTGATAGGGATCTCATTAAGGATATAGAATCCTTTCGGTAGTATCCACATTTTTAACAATATTTGATTTTCCAATCCATGAGCATGGAATGTTCTTTCATTTCTTTGTGTCGTCCTCAATTTCTTTCATAAGT